TCGACTCCTTCAAGTAAATGTGTGTAAAAAGTGTAGAAAATTTTCCAGATGTTTCCAGAATGCTTTCTACAAACTTTATTATGCTTTAAAAAGCTAAACAAGGAAAATTCAGTGTAGAATAAAATATAATATCAGAGGAATCATTCAGACGAAAATAAATTTGAAACAAATTTTATCTGGTAAAATGCGGTGAGGGGATACTTCACTGAGCTATGTAAAACACGTTGGATAAGAAATATCGTTCATTTATGGTAGTAATCTGCAAATCTTAATGTAAATTATCGATGTAAATTACTCGATGTTACTTAATGTAATTACTCGATGTATAATAATTTAAATATATTTTAAATTCTAGAACTTTTGTTTATGAAATCAAAACTCTTTTTAAGGCGCTACAGTATCATTTGGAAGAATCTTATGCGAAGAGCTATCAATCATTTAAAAGCAGAATAGGCAATAATTAATAACTGAATGTTTTAAGTAAGATAAGCCTTCGTTGTCTGCTAATAACTTAAAGAATGAAACTCCTACTAACGAGTTGGAACCCAATCACAGAATGAAGAACAATTGTTTTTCAAGATCAGTTTCTAATCATTATGACACATCTCAATAGAAACCTAACTGTCAAGCAACCAAATTTAAATCTTGCGAATAATATTGGAGATTTTTATATACCAGTGCTTTTTAAACAGAAGACATAGTGAGAAAGACCTTAATGCACCAAAATGCTAGTGATTTGCGATTCAGTGTTTTCATAATAGAAGACAGCCAGCCTACACTGAAGCGAAGAGATGGTATCCTGGCAAGTCGAAGTTCATTTTAATACCTGGATTTTACTTGGATGAACCAAAAGAATAAGAAATATTCCCGCCAGTATTACAGGATGTGACTGTTACAGCAATACAGATGAGATATTATTTGTAAAACTATAACGATAAATGGATACGCTCGACAGAATATCTCTGTCAACAGAGATAAAGTCGACAAAATTTTATAACAAAGTGGCTTGTTAGTGAAACTTTAGACACTGAACGAATAAATTGGGCAATCGAATCTTCCAAGTATATCGTTGTGAAATGCCCAGCTCCTAAGCTGTGAGATACTTTCCCCGCAAAGCAGGCTTAGGGTTGCCAGAAAGTGGTAGGTAAATGCAAGGTTGCCAGATTGGACACGAAATCGCCCATTTGGCGACAAAATTGGCGATATGTCATAGACGGAGCGAGAACATTCTAGAACATTCATACATTTTTAGCAGTTTTCTCTAGAACATTCTCGAAGGTAGGTTAAAGCTATATATATATCCTGTCTGTCCTGGGAGGTTGTAGTGTTCTGAGTTCAGAGATCGACCGAGTGGGGAGCTGTACTTTAGAATTTTTCCGAGAAGCTGTCTTCACTGTTATAGCCTGAAGACTGTGTTACTGATTGTTTCAACGTGTTTGTCGTAGTTTTTCGACGAGGGTAAACGTATCTTTGGAACTTTCCGCTGTCATAGTGCTTTAATGGGAAATAAATCGTGTTTTCATACTTTATCAAGTGTTAGCATCAATTACTCCAAATCAGCAAATCCATAGAGGGCAACAATATATCTTACAGAAATGAAGATATCGCTGGAGGGATCGTTGAGAGCTACTGAGATCTTTAGTAAACCCAATGCCATAAATTTCAATAAATTTGTTTACGTTTCGTGCAATGGCTTTTGTCGCCCGGGACGATCCTTGAATTTAGCCACTTTCTCGATACCCAAGAAAAGAGCTAAAAAATGTCAAAATGAAATATTAAGGAAATAAATTAAAACGCTATATTTATAATTAAAGTGAAACTTTAAAGATTTTAAAATTATATTATTATTTTGCTTGTTTTCAGTTTATAAAACCATATCAAAGACAGTGAAGGAGCAATGAAGGCTACTTCAGGGCTCCGAGTGCTGTTATGCAGACAAACTGGAAAGGTTTCTTAAATGCAGAATATGCGTTTGAATATATAAATACTAATTAAAATGATTTCCTACTGAGGAAATCTTTTCCACAACTAGCAACACTTATACAAACTGCGACTTATAACAGATACGATTGTATTCACAATGATATTACAATATTTAGAATTTTGTTTTGTAATTTGTATTAAAAAATAACCTGCAGAAGTTCAAAGGGACTACTGTTTAATATCCCTGTTTCGTTTTCTTTAGAATAACGGAATAAAATTCTTAAATACTTCTTTTTTAGAGAAGAATTCTTCTTTATTTATGTCATTGCAATCACAATTTAATTTATGTCCGTATTTTTCGTTCAAACGTTTCGACGGAGTGAAGAAAATATACTACTATCTTCCTTGTCAACACGACTATTTTTCTCCTTATATTTCTTTCATATGACAGTTCAGAATCTCGTTATTCTACACCTGCTTCGACGATCCACATGACTAACCTGTATAAAATAACATTTCACGCGAAAACTGCTGTGCTCCCAAATATACCGCCTATCGTGAACCACTCGCCCTGCCCCCCTCTAGCCACACAACTGCTTGCATGTGCACAGAATATGTAATTTAGCTTTGCGAAATTCGGTTCTAGATAACTTACATTGCATTATGAAATTCTTCTCTTAGAGGTCTTAGAGCTATGAAGATCCATATTGACCGAAGGAATGGAGTTCATTCCTCCAAACTCTGATTATTCCCTTTACTGATAGCGTGAAATTGTGTTCAGATTTTACATGCCGGAGTTAATAAAGATAAAATTCGCTGTCGATTGCAATATTTCCTCGCATATTCTTCCTTCCCTTTTTTTACTAATTTTATCGTCCGAAAATTGAGAGAGGAAAATTATGCAAATAATTTAGTTTCCAAAGTACGGGCTTACTGTAAATCTAGTAACATTAACGTTACAATGTCTAATAAGCTATAGTAACTTCTATTTCTCTGTAATTTGAATCTGGCCCATTTTTACTCTTGTCTCTACTACTCCTTAAGCCTCAGATCATCCATAAATAATTAGAAAAGCTAAATGGGCAGCTGACTTAGCAAAATAGCTGAGTGAATCTCAGTTCGTGTTTGCTTCTCTGTGATTGGTCAGTTTTTATATTATACTGTCATGTAATGTTCGATGTGACCTTCGCAGGTAGATTGAAGAATTTACCTTTGTTAGTAAAACTGAAACAATCATGAAACATTCACTACATGGAAGAATCAATTCTAAATTTTAGGGGAGCTCGTTCTTGAACTCATCCAGGAAGAACGAAATTACGCGAATATTTTTAAGATTTTCAGAATGTGTGCTAAAAAGCTAGGAGAAGATATACGATATTCATTCAGTTTCATTGAACAATCGAATATACATAAAACAGCAAAACCAATTTTGTTTACAATTATTAATTTTAATTTTTAAACACCTTGAGAGATGTTTAAAAATATTCAGAAACTTGAAGATATGTCTATTAGTTTTAATAAGAAATAATGTTAGGGCATAAAAACGTACCCACTCCTGGAGAGAGATATTTGTTGCAAGACTCGTGCACGAAATAATCTATAAAATAAGTGCACAGCTAGGTCTTGAATAATCAAGCTTTCTTCTTTATTAAATAAACGCATTAGACTCTACGTAGCACTAGTTTATAACTAAATAATATTATTTTGAGTTCAATGTCCACCATTTGTCGATGCTGTTTTTAATAATCCATGTTAAATATACGAGGCTACGTTCTACATTTTAATTTTCAGATGATTTAATTTTTAAATTAATTGGCTAATCATAGATTTTAGATTAAAATTGTTTTAGATGTTAACCTGGAATCAGCTATGAAGATCAAACTGAATATTTTTTAATTTTAATATTTTTGCATAGTTTTGATTTTTAAATGTTCTATTGAATTTATGAAAATGTGAAATTCTTGCATTGCAATTTTTTTCCTTTTAATATTTCCTTTTAACGAGAAATATCCGTTGACTGATCACCATAAAATGATGCGAAAAGCACCCAAAAAAATGTGCAAGAATCAATAAAATCTACAAAAACTATTCACTTTTCAATTCCCCTTTTTCTTCCGATGTTCAAAACTTATTTTAATAGAAGTTTTTAACATATCATTGAAATTTTCTTAGTTTCCTTAATTGACTCCGATCATTTTAAAAAAGTATGTAAAAATTTTAGATTATAAGTAACAGAAAATATATTTAATTTTTAATAAACAAATTTATATTATCTTTCAGAGTTAGAATCTGAAGGATAAAATCTAATTTTTACTTTTATTCTCAAGTAAGTGCAATTAATATGTAGTAGAGTAGTTCTTACATCAATATATCAAACTATCTTTCATGAGCACGACATGATAGGAGAGTTAAAAATGCTAAATGAATGATTTGTATTAAAGTTTCTAAAGTCAGGTTTCTAATGTTAATGCTGTTCTTAAAAACAGGTTTCTAATGTTAACATTTAACGTTCCTAAAACAACAGGTCTATGATTTCCTACTGAAAAATACAGAAGAAAAATATTACAATAAAATAGTAATGGTTTTCTAAGTTGCTACCTTTTTAAATATTAAACTCAATGATCAATAACGTCACATAACAGTCGTCTGCCAATATTGTTATTATAGCAATAAATTTCTTTATCACAAGCACATACAGATTATTTAATTTCTATCTGTAAAAGTGCAAGCATGTACTCAAAGATCATGTTCTAGAATGTCATCTTAAGTGTCTCGACTAAACGTGATGTGCATGATTTTACGATAATTTAAATATCTCTTACGAGTTCAGATAGCATATGGCAGTGAAATTTACTAAAATTCTATTCGGCGGTGCTTATCAGTTGTTATCATGTACTGTATAAATGATCACAACAGTCATGCGTTTTGAATGAGAAGAAATCTGTACAAGACATTATTTTGGTCATGGCATGCATGTTGAATTTTAAATGTATAGATATAATCTTTTTAAGATTTCAATTTAAAACATATGACCTTTTCCTTCCAACATACTTTCACTTTTATTTTTTATTTTACAGATAACTTATTATGATGTTAATGACATGGCAAAACAGAATCAGGATACTGTTTCTGCTATCAGAAAATTATTCTTTAGCAAAGATGTTGGACGCTACAACGACGACATTTTCTTCCTATCTGAGGTATTCCACGAAGCTTTCCCGAAAAGATTACATCAAGTTATTTTCCTCGATGTTGATCTGAAATTTTTAACTGACATTCAGAAGCTTCATCAAGAGTTTGACAAATTTCAACCGAAAAATGTTATCGGGATTGCGCCCGATCTTCAACCACAGTACCGAGTAGACTTTGCCAAATTCAGAACGAAGAATCCAGGAACTTCAGTTGGATCCCATAGACCTGGTAAACAAGGCTTCAATACTGGAGTAGTACTATTCGATTTAGATCGAATGAGGAAGTCTGAACTTTACAACTCTCTTTTAAATGAAACTTTATTAGAGAATTTATGCAAAAAATACGAATTCGAAGGTTACCTTGGTCATCAAGACTTTTTTACATTGACTGGTATGGAATTTCCAGAGTTATATTACAAATTAGATTGTTCTTGGAATCGTCAACTTGATGTTGGATGGCGAAATGAAGTAGATAATGCGATTTTTGATCTTTATCACCAATGTAAAGGCAAGATAAATATTTTGCATGCTAATGGTGACGCTGTTCTTCCGGATGATTAAATGTATAATATTTAGTACATTTAAAAATGAATGTTATGTGCAATGATCCTCTTGATGTCTCCCTAAAATAATATCTCCCTAAATAATATCTCTTCTATCTCTACATCAAATATTTTATTTAATAAACTGCCTTCCTTCTCTTTTCAAAAGTTAAAACTTGTTAAGTTGTTATAAAGAGAATCCCTTTTTTTTTTTTTTTTCAGCTCAAAGAAAGCTTCGGGAGTTAAGATGAAAACATTCGTAGCATACACCGCATCACGTTTATTTTTAAAACTCTACTGTTTTGTTGTTTCCATATACCTTTCCATGACTGTAATGAAGACATCAAAATTTTGAAAAGCATCGAAACAATTTTTTACCGTTTATGTCTGTGCATCACAAAAGTGTCAGAAACCATTAAGAAAACAAACATCATTTAGCCGATATAATTAATTTATATTTTTACAGGCTCTTTTAGTTAATGAAAAGGTTCTGTAATCTAACAAAACATATGTTTCAATTTCTAGCATATAATACATTGCAAGTTGGCCCAAAATAATGATATATGTACTCGCTTTAAGGCGGCCAGCCTCTCCTTTCGAAATATAAATTTAATGCTGTGTCTAGTATCTTTTGTTTAAGCTTTTATTCTGTTACATTTTGAGAAATTAAACTATTCCTTAGCGACTACAATTGCAACATAATGATTAACACATCACTTAACAGATGGAAGGTCTGTGGTTCCTGTCGAGCACGCAGTAGATTCTTCCATCTTTTGACTCTCTCTCAAAAAAAAGAAAAAAAGAAAAAAGTACCTTTACATAAGTTGTGTATTATTCCTTAGTAAAGTAGGCTGAAATTTTATGTTCCGAATATTAACAAATAAATGAAATTTGAAATCAGTTATTCTTTTTATCGCAAATTTTTTTTCACACTCCCAGATTAGTAAAGTCGTAATCTTTGCATAGTGATTATTTGCTCACATTTAAATTAATTTTGATCTTCCAGAGATTACAATTTATAAATTCTAGTACCATATTTATAAGAATGTTTGAAATATGTAGTAATCAAAACACTTGTCCAAAAAGAATATAATAAGAAGCAAATATGTCTAAAATATATATGAACATGTAGAACTCGATGCCAGTATATAATAAAATTACAACATCTGCATTTAACTTTGCATGAAAGAACTTAACACTAGATATTAAACTAGTTTATTCATGCGAAATTATTCACAATACACATCTGTTATGATAATATTAATCAAAATTAAGCACCTCAAACATGTAAATATCACGTATGATATGTATTTGCTTACATTTCTGTAGCATCTGTAAAACAGTACTATCATCTTAAACATGTGAAATTTCATACCCTGAACTCGCTTTTTATTGCCATTACAATAAGTCACATATTTCCTGAGAATATGCTTAGCCTTAAAAATAAAATTAATGCGCCGTTAATTATCAAATATTTATTGAATCTTTCATTGTTAAGGAGTGTTATACGTATATTTTAAATGTATTATATTTAATGTTTTCATTAAATGGTAAAACTTAGCATAAGTTCACAATAGTAACATAAGTTAACAACATAATAAATAACAACATTAGTAACCCATTAACATAAGTTACTAATGTTGTTATTTATTATGTTGCTTCAGATTTGTTTGAACATTAATCCCATTTTACTTCCTGCTTCCCATGCATCAAGCACATAAATAACAATTTTTAAATTTTTCCTTTAGTGTGTCACTTTTCCCATTATGCCGAAATTCTGGACACACAAATGCAAATGTAAATGTGAAACGTAATTCATCTTTCCAGTTTGCTTGAAAACATAAATATGCATTGTAATAAAGGAAATTTAAGACTTTTTTTGTATATCTACCTCTCAAGATGGGTTTATATATATGTGTGTGTGTGTGTGTGTAATCAAGAGAAAATAATTAAATCAAAAATAGATTACAAACAATCTAACAGGAAAAATAGAAGTCAAAATTGAAACAAAAGGAAAACAACTCAATAAAATAATATAAAATAATAATATAATGCAACAAAAGGTAGAAACTTCTCTGGTCTTTTTGAAGGAACAGTTGAAACATTTTCAACAGAAGCAAATTTTTGAATTGCATCTGTTTGATTATAAAATGTGCAAATAAAAACCTTTTTTTTTTTAACTTTAAAACAAAATTAAAGAAAATCAAAACTTTTTAAAATGCAAGGTAACTGAATTTTTTTTCAATCAGAAGACAATGATATAGAATAAAGTAATTTTCTTTTCAATTTATAATCAATCATCAAGATATCTGTTCGACGTGACTCTAAACAAATAACACTAGGCAAAAATTACAGAATATTAAATTAAAAAACTCTAAACAGAAACCAGGGAAACAAATGGGTTAATTAAAATTAGTCAGGAATTTAATATTTAATTTAAAAATATCAAATCTAAGAAACTGTAAAACTGATAACGGACTATTGTAAAATAAAAATTATTAAAATTTAAATTGAAATTCCAAAAAACGAAATTATATTATTTAATAATGAAATTCGTAATATAATTTTTCATTATTAAAGATTTCAAAAGCTAAGAAATAATGGAAAAGCTTGAAGTGTTAAATTTTATTTTCACAAATTTTAGCTTATTGCTGCTTTTGATTTTTTTCTTTATTTCCTGTATTCGAAATCAAATTATTTTCTTTATCACTTACAGTTCCCTAATCTTCAGCAATAGCATTTATTCTCGTAACACATGCCTACTTTAAGGGATTATATCCTGTGATATGATAATTGACATATAATGACATTAGTAATGTCTCAACAAAGCATAACTTTAATCACGGACTAAATAGTTTAGAGAGAAATGAAGTATTTTTGCACTTAATTCTCTTTCGTAGTACTCACTAGTACACTGGATACCCTAACGCACATGTAAAATAATCTAATATGCTGTCTTCGATATTAACGTCTATTGTACTACTCCAAATATCCAATATAAACTAACGAATCGTGTTGTCATATTGAAATTTTAAAAACTATGCATTCGTAAAATACTGAAAGCTTTGTGTTGTACTTTTCTATTAAATATAGTATAAATCGAAAAATATCAAATTATTTGAAATTGAATATTTAAATTGCTCACTTTGAAAACCTGATAAGCAAATGTACTGTTCAACAATGACAGTTCTTATTTCATGAAGATTGTTCAGAGCTTGACTTTTATCATGAGCAGGAATTTCCTCATAAAATAAAAATAAAAACTCACGACACCGTTCCTTCAATTAATAACATGAAAGAGATGAATTATCTCTTTAACATACTTTAACTTTCTCATTTTTAGTTCAAAAAAACTCAGCATCGAAAATAAATACACAATCTAATTAGACACAAATATTTTACGAGCGGTTTGCTTTTTATTTAGCTCTTTGTGGCTCTTAAACTTTGTTTCTTTTCATGCTGAAGAATTTCTTTGTTTTAAGTTAGGAGAATAGAAAAATACTTGACGGTTATTCTATGCTGAATCCCTTTTAATAACTTATGTAGAGAAAAGCACTAAGTCTTTCCAGGAGATTCAGCCTTAGATTTTTCAGAGCTATCCTGCAAATCAATTCTGCAAGTCCACTGATCTTTTAAAATCTCCTTTCATATTGTACATACAAGTAAAATATACAGGTCGAAAGAGTAAGCTTCTTAAAGTCAGTGATTTGGTTTTCTATTTCATTTGAAATGTTTCTATTTCGTTCGTTTTCTTGAAAATCTGATTATTTTTCTTCCTACATTTAACTGTAATTCAACTATGATCCCTCTTATGAAGTATTACCTAAAATTTATGGGCGAGCCATCCTTTTTTGTACTAAACCCTTGTACGTTATTTCAATGGTTAAATACTGATATTCTTGTCTAATTTTGAAGTTTCATTAATAATATAGATGTGAAACCATCCAGCCTTAATTAATATTTTTGGTACTATTCCGTTTTGAGGACCGTAAAAAATCGCCAAACTATCGTTGATGCCAGTGCTGCCAAAAATAATTGCGGCAACCCTAACGCAAGAAAGAAGTATAATAGTAAAAACATTTAAAGATTATGTTTTAATTTAGATAAAGGTTAATTTATAATACTTTTTTATTATAATTATTGAAAAGGCTAAAACCTGATGGAAGCATAGAGTAAATAACTATTTCAAATCATTTTATATTTATTAAAAAACGTAAACATCACTGAACGGATTCTGCATCGCTATTTCGCTACCGATTATCGCTAAGCTAATTTCATCTGTTGGTTTCAAACTATTTCTATAATAATGATGCCTTTCTTGAAACATCTTGGTAAAGTCAGAATCGCCCACTATTTGTTTGGCAATTTTAAAGGTTAAAAACAATGATTTTTTATCAATTTCTTTTACTTTTTAAGTTAAATAGGCCGATTGTACATAGATAAAGTCAGGGTGCGCAGTGCCATTTGTGATTTTTTTAGAGTGAAAATCGGTCGAGTGTACATGATGCGAGTTTCGTCATGGGCGTTCCAAAATGTTAAATCTTAGATATCCAAAAGGATTGAAATCAAAAGGATTTAAAAATTAAAATAGTGTTTCAATGCCGTCTAAGAAATATAGAACATCTAAATACGCATTGAAACCAGTCGTCGAGATTTGGCGCGCTGTTAAATGGGCGCGTTTGCTAGATTTGGCGCTTTTGCGCATACATTTTCGCTGCAATTTTTTACTGTCCTCAAAATGGAATAGTACCATATTTTTATTCAAGTAGTTATTAGGTTCGAATTCAAATATTGAATCCTCAAGTAATTAAATATCGTAATATGAAATGCTATATCATATAAAAGTTATCAGATTTCTTACCTAAATCAATATCGAGTATACTGCTAGTTACACCAGGATTGAATCCCAGGTAAGCGGACTGGCTGCATGATTGATTTTCGTGGTTTTTTTTATACGTAACGTTTATACCAGCAAATTTCTCTTTAAAAGTTCTTCACGCACTCAGCTCTTCCTAAGCAGCTAGCCCTCGTCAGCTTAACCCTATTCAGGTAACTTAATCTAAAGTAATGTATAGTGAAAAACATTAATAAGTATTGTTGCGTGCGTACGGGTTCGTTTGGAATTGAATGCACAAGTCCGATGAAAAATGAATACGATTTATTATGTCACAATAAAAAACACAATACTCAATTTCTCAGATATTCTGCAATATTACAATTTCACGTAGTATCTTTTAACTACTCAAACGTTAAGAGAACTTAATCAAATAGCTAAGAAAGCAATCCGCAATTAGCTACAATCAAAAGAACAGTTTTCTAAAAAAACTCTAAAACAAAAATAAGCAACTAAAATAACTGACTGACGGATGAGAGTTTTCCTTTTTGTATAAGATTTTAAATGCGCGCGAGAATTTTAGTACTTTCTCGAAATCAAAAGAGATATTTATAAATTTACATGCACGCGCTCTGTATTTTCAATTTCGGCTTAGCTTTATTTTAAATTCGTCACGAGACAGGAGCGGGAAATAAAAACCATTAATTTACAATTCAACTAACATAAGCTATTTAAATACCAAATCCGTAACAGTAGGTTTTTAATGTGCACAAGGAAATCGATAAAGCTGTTTGAAACTGGAGATTAAAGGGGTTTCCAACATAATTAGTAATTAGTATTTCCAAATTCACAATGAGAAATATTTATAATAAAGTTTTTAAAGAATTCGATAAATTAATTCATTTTACCATTCAAGTTTCCCTAGCTACTCGAACGTGCAGTCGATCATTCATATGCTAACGATATTAAGAATACAGCTTGGAGCTATCTAATTGTTATCCAGACTAGATGCAAAACTAATTTAATGTAAGTATTGGATGGGAATTAAGTATGAAAAATTAAAGCTTTGAATGTTTGAATGTTGTTACGCCATCCATTGCTCGCCGAAAGAGCGCGCTTCGGATATTCGCATAAAGCTAAAAAATGAATGAAGTTTTGTGTTTCAGAGATGTGGCAACACGCGATTATTGTTATTGTAATTGTGTTCAAAGATATAAGTGAATTGTGTTTCAAGTTTGTTCGTTGAGCAAGAGTAAAATATTTATGATATTTATTGTGTAGAGTTTTGATTTGCAGCCCATTCCACAGAGGTGAAAATAACAAATGTGTTCATAATGTCTTTAATGTAATGTCATAGAACTATAGGATAATACTATCATACTTTAAAAATGTTGTATTTGAAAATCTTACTTTCTTTACGTAACTTTATGTATTAATTATTTTTAAAATGTAAAGAAGAAATTTCAAGCGAATAAAATTAATATATGAAGAAAATCAAATATTCAGTTGTAAGGTATTTCTCCCACCTTCTTGGCGTGCTTTCGTGGTGTAGTGGT